GCCATCGCCCCTTTGCTTCTGGTGTCTTTGAAGCTGTACAGTAATAACTAGCTTTGTGTCAGATCACCAGATACACTGCTGTTCCTATTTTAGCCAGAGCGTTTGTTGTTTGAAGTCCCATTTACTGCATTCCAGCTAGCGCTCAGGAGTTCATTTGGACATGTTTAATCCTCTCACTAGGTTTCAAGTGCTGTTTTTCTTTATTAACCCAGTGAATAATACTAAGCTTTTCCAGGATGATTGACAACAGTAAGGAAAAGTGTTGATTATTGGAACTCCATTTGCTAATTAAGTCATCTTTGTAAGTAAACAAGTGGAAAGACTTTAGCTTTGATGTATTTGCTGAGAACAATTTCTTGCAGGCTGTTACTAGGGTAAAGATATGGGCCTTTGCAAGTACATAAAGTTTCTGCTTTTGGAGCTTGTTTGTCTCCTACCAAAAGCTTGGGCTTTCTTCTATTAATCCAGCCATCAGACTGGCAATAACAAACAGCAGCCTTCCTACACCGATCAAAAAAAGTTCCTTGTGCTTGCTAACTTGTAGAAATCTTGTCAAGTTTCCTTATCTGTAGAGCTTGATCCTTACTCTGAATGGCTGTGCCAAAACTAATATACTTGTTCGTTAGTCTTTCAGGTAATAGCATCTATCGTTTCATTGCTTTATTGCAATGTATAGTTCTCTCCTCCTCCTCCTCAAGGCTCCATGTGAGAATTTGTTTTATAATCTGTTTAACAAATCTAGGACAAGAAAGTTGTTCTAGAACAATTCTAGTAATACAGAGGGACTGCATCATGTTTTTATCATCCTATATACAGTTATGTGAGGCCCTATCTGAAGCCTAAAATAATAAATTACAGTTGACATCAAATCCTCCCTTTTAGCAGTTTAAAACAAAGTGATTCTTAAACAAAACTGACTTCTAGGATAGAGTTTTCTTCTATTATTTTATTGGGTAAATATGTGTTAAGCAGATGGATAAAAAATGTAGAACTTCAGGAAGAGATACAGTAGAGTAACATGTTTCCTGATTCCTCTGTGACTTTCCTGAATGGATGATGATTTTCATTGTTCTTGCATTAGCATTATAATGCTGATGGTTGGTATTATATATATCCGTATTTAATACTGCTGTTATATTACTTTCTTGTGGTTAAGCTGCAATTACCCTTTTATTGTTTCCGGTCACACTGTAGTATGCTTCTTTTAGTGCTTGCTCTGTCGGAGCTCCACAGAAAAAAATCTTGCTGGGCAGTTGACTTGCTTCAGCTCTTAACTAGAACAGGCAATTCTGTCCCAGTTATCTCCTTCCACTGACTGAGTAGCATGTAGATGGCTTCTTTTGACTATATGCCTCACTGCAAAACTGAACCAAACCCTCCTTTGGAACTGGGAGAAAAAAAGGGTACAAAAGGTGCAGGTGAACACTGTTAGAAAATAAATGCTGGTTAGAAATTCATCCCTCTGGCAACTGAGGAATAATAGGGTGCCTTTTAACTCTTTTGTTGGTACCCAGAGAGGTACCTATTTCAGTGCCTGCAGAAGAGCAGGAGTAACAACATTTATGGTATTACTGAGATTTTTGAGTAGCCATCTTTTCCTGGATGGTAGACTTATACTGTCAGTCAATAAAGCTGATCAAGTTTTTATAGTAACTTAGAAGGTAAGTTGACTCAGCTTGAAAGAGAATTTCTGTCCTTAGCTAAGTGGAATATCCTAGTTTGTTTACTCCATGGAAAGAGGACATGACTATCAAAATGTATATGCTATAAGCTGAATTCAGAGTGACTGTTGTAATGCCACATATCTTGCATATGATAAAAAGTTGATTTGTTTGGTGTGGTGTTTTACCTTCCTACGTCTGGAAGGAGTAGGATGTATTGGGGGCTCTCAGGGACATTAAGATTCTGGGACATACAGTGGTAAATGACATCTTGTAAAGCTGGACAAGGTCTCTGCTCCATGTGTCTGCTCTTATCATTTTTCCTTTTTGTCCAGACAAGATAAGATCCTAGTGATACCACTTGCTTCTTCTTAATTGAAGAGGTGGTTGCTCCTAAATCTGATTTAATTCAGTTTTGAATCTTTTTATCTCTTAAAGAAGTCCTGCTTATTGCACAGCTAGTTCTTTTGGGGACTAGATGAATTTTGTAATCAAGTGAAGTGATGATGCTTCTAAGAAAGATGAATATAACTAATGGTACTGCTTGGTCCACTATTGGTGGAAAAGCTATTGAGCTTTGAATTCGTACAGAGTAACTTCTGTACAGCCTCTAAAAAGCTGTCCAAGTAAGCTGGAATTTTCTGTAGAATATTTTTTATATTTTTTAGGTAAAATTAACTTTGTACAGAACCTGTAAATTAGTGTCACAGGAAGCATCTGACCTTGGAACTTAATTTTATTCCTTGCTACACTGAACACCTTAACCTTACTATCACAGAATAACAGAATATCATATAATACAGTGTCTTCTAATACTTTCAAGCTATTAGAATATTAGAGGCAGAAGTCTCCAAATGTTATAGTTCTGGACATTTTTATCAAGTTATGAGCTCTGTAATTCTTACTTACATTTTTTTAGACCCACTGTTTCTTAGGTTAAATGTGCCTCCTTCAGGTTCAAAACATAAAAGCATTAACACTGTCTGATTTGCTGACACAGTGTGAAAGAGCGTCTGTGTATGACTAATCCAGGATATAAAATGGAGACTCCACCTTGGATATTTTTATCATTTGTTTTCCTTTCCCTTGACATTTGTTCCACTGAGCCTTGCACGTGTTGAAGAGTGATAGGGGAGAGTCCATGCTTCCTCATTTCCTTTCATGTTCACAGAGATGCTGGTCATTTTGGGCAGCTATTAGGTTGTCCAGAGGAAATAAATCTGTATTCCTCTTAGTAAGAGAATTTTTACATTTCAGTGTACTTGCAATATAGAATATTTTTCATTTGATCACCTTAAGGCCAAATTGTTTTTGACATCAGTTGGTATGAAGCAATTTCATAGAAGGGTTTAGTACCCTTAGTGTAGTAATTTGATGGAAGAGCCAACAATAAAACTGTGTTTCTTCCCTTTAAACTGAAAGCATCCTGCTGTGAACAAATTAAAGTTTGTCTTTCTAACAGCTGTAGAGCAATCAGTTACTTAGACACCAAAGATGCTGCTGTATTTGCCTAAAAGGGAGTGGTTCATCTTCTGAAGATCTCATTTTCGTCTACACAAAGAGTAGTACACTTTGTGTTTAGCATCTAATTTGGTAATGCATTTAATAATATAGTCTTCATTTACAGCACAGTAGGAAATGTTCAGTAAGGATGGAGTAATTCTGGGGAGCATTGTTTCCTGTTTTACATGCTTTTAATCAAAAAGATACAGATTTTGTTTACCTGATTCTTTATAACCTAGTTATTTATCAGATAAACACATGAAATCCTTTACTAATACAAAAGAAAATCTGTGTATTGCCTAAAGACTGCTGGTTCTTGTTGGACTGATGTACTCTGCAGCTGCATATAAAAATACAAAGGCAGCAGGCACTGAGTGGTAGGACAAAATCCTGGTAGAGATTCTGTCACATGATTGTGATTACCTTTAATTGAAAAATAAAGAAATTAGTCATCTTATTGTGTGGATTCTTAGAAATCTTTGAAAGATTTTCAACCCATACCTCATTTAAGATAGTGGGTGGTTCTTACTGTTTGAGATTGCTCAAGTTTAAATCACACTTTGTGTTTAGAGCATTAGGCCAATTTGTTTATATGCTGGGTTTTATTCCTTACAGGAAAAACGTCAGCCTTCTAATTTTGTGTCCACCATTGAGCAAATGAGTGTTTATGCCTTTACAGTAAGAGAAGCTTAAGGAAATCATAGACTTGCAGCATGTCTGAGGTGGGGAGGGACCTCTGAACATCATCTGGTTCAACTCCCCTGCTCAAGCAGGGCCACCCAGAGCTGGTTGCCCTGGACCATGTCCAGGCGTTTTTTGAGTGTTCCCAGGAAAGGAGACAGATGCATAATGCTTTTAAAACAGAATTTATGAGTTGGCTTTTGTTCCTAATTTATCTTTACTGTGACCTTTGATTAGATTTAGCAGATATCAGAATCCTAATTGCCAATTTTTGCAGCTTCAGAATAGATACGATAGATACATCCTCTATGACACAGAGAATTGTTGCTGTTTTCCTGGGCTTATCTGGGCTTGGCTGGTAGTGGGTTTAAGTATTGACTGAGTTCATTCATTATCACATTCATCTCTGCATTTGCCAATAGTATGCCCAAAAAAGAAAGTAATAGTTTCATGTGGTTCCCCTGATATTCTGTATTAGTGATATTACTTATTTTTTGTTGGAATGTGTACCATTCTAATGAAATTTTATGCTATGAAGTTTGGGTTGTTTTGACATTTCTTTGATCCAGAAGCCCATTCTGTGTAATTCAAGTGAGAATAGTGCTATAATCCATGGATAACATGGTTGATTGCCAAGCACTTGTGTTTATTTTTTTCTCACATTAATTTATTTTTACACAGCTTTTAGGTAACACTGTATAGTGTTTTAGAGTATTAGACTAGTTAGAATGTATTATTTTGATATTGTTCATGTTCATGAAATGAACTGTCACGAGCTTTATTTTAATCTGCAAGATAATCTTGCCTTATCTACTTACATATGCAATTTACCACTAGACATTTATTTCTTATCCTAATTTCATCTTTTTCAAGAATTATAACAGTTCTTCAGTTGTTACTGGATTACCTTTATTAATGTTTGAAATCAAGTATCAGTGTGTTTCATAGGTTTCTGGAATATCTCTGGTACTTTGCTTTTGAAACGGTAATGGGGATTTTTGAATGAAGTTACTGTCCAGAAATGTACTAGGAAGGAAACTCTGTGAAGAGAAAAAAAAGATTTATGCAGAAATGCATGAAGCCTTCTTCTAGTGAAGTCCTAGTGCAGTAATTCTGATTTTCTTCTTTCCCTTCCCCCTTGTTCTTGAATTCTAGATTTATCCATGGCAGTGCAAAAATTTTCACAGTCTTTACAAGATTTCCAGTTTGAGTGTATTGGAGATGCTGAAACTGATGATGAAATTAATATTGGTAAGTACTTTCTTTCTGTGCTCTGGTTGCAGTAATGTATTGTTTCCTATATATTGCATATAATATCACAAATATAGTGGGGCAGTTAACAGGTTTTGATTTCCTTTTGGTTTTTTTAATGGAGCGTGTAACAAAAATAGAAAAACTTGAGTAAGTAGAAGTCATACAAGACTTTAAAAATACATGTCAAAAAAAATACATCTTTATGCCATAGCTTGGTAGGGGAAAGTATTCAGCAGTAGTCCATCAACTGATTCAACTGTGAATCTTCTAAATTCTGCTCTTGTTTCATTTGCAGCCAGTTTTCAGTGAGATACAAAAAGGTACATGAGTTTCCTATGAAATAACATAGATCTGCAAAAACCACTGAAGTGCCTAGTAAGACACAGGAAGTATTTAAGGGGCTAAAACATGTTAGTATGCTCTTTACAACTTGTGCATTCCTAAGTGTATAGTTGCCTGAACTTTTGGCACAAAAATTTACTAGCTGCTTAATGTTCTCCCTCTGTGCACACCCAGAACTTCTGCATTAGCAGAACTGAACAGCTCATCTTGTCTTGAGTGTAAGTCTCTAATATCATCAAAATATTCTTCCCTCAGCAGACTATTCCTGGAAACATTTCCAGGATTCAGAAGTTCAGCCCCCCTTTCCTTCAAAGCATTGCTGTAGTTGCAGTGATGCATTAGGGCAGTAGCACAGCAGCTGGAGTGCTGTAGCTCCTGTTGATGAGAAACTTGGATTATAATCTGTCTTCGGAATGGCTAAATTCAGTGTCATGAGCCTTACATACCACATGGCCTCCATGTCTCTCCTAAAACATCTAAGAGGAAGGAAGACAGTTTTTGAAGAGTAGTAGTTCCTAAAAATAAGTAATTTGGCAGTACAAGAGGGAACAAAGCACTTGTTAGTATTATTTAAAAAGATCTGCACAAGGCAGAGAGGAAACTCAGATTTAGGTTCTTTCAAGCATATATCTTATTATAACCTATTTTCAAGTCTCTTCTCCCTTCAATATGTACCATTTCCTGAGTTATAAGTCATAGATCAAAAGTCTGAGCTGCTAGCTTTCACTGGCATGGTTTGCCCTGTTCTCACCCCACAATGCTTTGATAGTCAGAAGACTGTGAACAAAGGTGGTTGGAATTTGGTCACTGTCTTCCATTAAACTTTGGAAGAGGGGTGGGAGGGGACATTTACTGGCGTACAGAAGGGAGTGAAACCAATCTGAGCTGCTGCTGCTCAGACATGAAACTCCATACATTCTTCAGGTATATTACGCTTGGAAAGAGGCAAAAAATGAATGGGTTGTGTGCACTCTTCCGCATTCTGCATTTTATTTCTTGGCTGTTAAAGTTCGCTTGTACATATTTTATGCATTTAACTAAATCTGTGCTATCTCAGTGAAATGTCTTGCGTTTGGTCAATAACTTTTTGTAAAGATCCAGGGGGTTGCATTTAAAATGAGGTGACTAGGGACAAAGACAACTTTCATTTTGCTTGCAACCTAAATGCACCAAAGAAAAGACATTTTATGGTTTGAACATTAAGCAGGCATTTAAATCTACTTAGGAAAAAACAGAGTTCCTGAAGCTTGACAGCTGATTTATTTCACTTAGAGCTTCAAAGAAGGGATTTCTAGCTTCTAAAGCACACATTGCCTGATGGATTGTTATGTACATCAAAGAAGCTTGTAAGAGTAAAAGGTAAACTGACAGGAATCAAATTCAAGTCTAACAGCTTGAATGATACTGTGCGCTTCTATATGGTAAGGCTCAATTTTTTTATCTCCTTAGAGCAGTGACCTAGAATTTATCCGTATCTTTAACATGCCCCGGCAAGCTAAATGTTTGCTTATCATCAAAGACAGCTTTATAAAGATGAATCCTGCTGTCTGTGCAGTGATACTCTGACTTGATAAGTTTTGTACAAAACCACTGTATATAAAGAATCTTCATTCAGGAACTATATTCTGAAGATTTTAAAATACATTTCTCTTTTAAGCTTAGCAATGGAAATCTACCCTAATCTGCCTTAGCTTTGGAAATTCACTCTGAATAAGGCTTCTGTCATGTGATTATTTCTGATTTGAGGGGGGTAGGATTTTATTTATTTATTTTTGCTTACCAGTAATAAGTATTTGGAACTGACAGCTCTATGAACATTTTTTGAAGCAGTACTAGATTTGAAGGTCTTGTTCAGTAGCTAAGTACAACATAATTTTTTTGGCCTTTCTTGTCAACATGAGCTCTACTAACAGCATCCAGTTCTGTTTGCACTTCCTGTAACCTGTGCCTTTTTAGATGCTCTCTTTATACAACTCACTTATTCCAACACACCCATTACACAAAATACATGAGAAGTAATTTCCGTTAAGTTCCGTGACACGCTCAAGCAGAATTATAATAGTGTCCTTGATATTTATTTTGATTTAGTGATTTTTTTTTCTGTTAATTCCTTTGATTTTTTTCTTTTTTGTTTACAAATATTTATTTTTTCATAGAAATGGTGTTCTTTGACGAAAAATCTGTATGTCTTTTTGTGGGTTTATAATGCGCTTTAGCTAATCTTTCCATGTGGCTGCAAGTTACCCAGATTCATTTAAATAGTCACTTTCAGATATAGCATGCCCAGTTTAGAGTAAGACATTTTTTGCATGGTTTGTAAGCTATTCCCCTTGCTTTCTTAAAAAACAGACTGTCTTGTTCCTCAAATAATCCACAACTTCATTTCTTTTTCTAAACTGTGAAAATCAAAGTATTCATGCTTCAAAAGCTTTTTCAGATTTACAGATATTTGCCAGCAAATTGGGTTTGGGAAACAGTGTTCCCAAGCTTTACTAGCTGCTCTCCTTAAAAAATAAGCAGCTAGTAACAATTGCCAATGTTGTCTCTTCCTCTGTTTTGAAATGCATGTGACAGCATGTGATCTGCAGCAATGCAAGGGCCATAATATTTGAGGGGGCCATGCTAATTGATCGTTCAGCATGGATATTAGCTCCAATTGCATGTGATTCATCCAAGCCGTAATTTCTTTGTGCAATTGAAAAGTTATGCAGAAAGTGACATCTTCAAAGCAAAATTAAGATGAGTGACTAAAAAGGCATAGCATTGAAGGTTTGATGTATCTACCCTTTCTCTGAGAGAGCATTGAGTTGCTTCCCCCATCTTACTAACAACCGTGCTTTCCTCGGTCTGAGATAGGCAAGACATGACAACACTGCCATTGATGTTACTGGACATACCACCTTGTGCACAGTTACTGTCACTGCCCTTTGCATTAATATTTTGCACAAAGATTAAATACTTTCTATTGATAATGAATGAATGTAAAGGAGGTCATTCATTTGACATCCTTAGTGTGAGTTTTCTGGGGACCTCATAGCAGCCTTCCAGTATCTGAAGGGGGCTTATGGGGATACTGGGGAGGGACTCTTCAGGGAGTAGTGACTGTAGTGACAAGACAGGGAGTAGGGACTGTAGTGACAAGACAAGGGGTAATGGGTTAAAACTTAAACAGGAGAAGTTTAGATTGGATATAAGGAGGAAATTCTTTCCTGTTAGGGTGGTGAGGCGCTGGAATAGGTTGTCCAGGGAGGTTGTGAATGCTCCATCCTTGGCAGTGTTCAAGCCGAGTTTGGACGAGGCCTTGGGTGATATGGTTAAGTGTGAGGTATCCCTGCCCATGGCAGAGGGGTTGGAACTTGATGATCTTAAGGTCCTTTCCAACCCTAACTATTCTATGATTCTGTATTTTGAACCTTAATGGTAACAAAATGTTACATAGATGGGGTAGGTGCAAAACCATTTTTTAATGAACAAGTGTTTTTTTTCCTCAGTAAACACTGTGCTGGCATATATTTTGCAGGGACAGGGTCTGCCTAGCTCCTCTTTTCCTAATATGATCCAGCTTCTGTCACCTGATTCCAGCAATCTCCCTAGATTTATCCTCTTTTATTTTGCACTGTCTGGATTATGGTTGATAAAGATGAAAGCAATAAATGTTATTACTTAGCTGAATGGAATCCTTTCTTCTTTTTCTAACAAGTTCTTGTATATTTTGTATTATGGCTGATTATAGATCAGTGAGCTTTAATATAAGCAGTGTAAGACCATGCTCTTAAAAATTCAAAGAAACGAAGGCAAACAGGTACATTCGGGTATTCTGGCATTTTACTTTAGTATCTATGTCTTATTAGTGTGCTCTATTTAGGAAAAAGCCCTGAAAGGCGTGTGTATTTCACTCTGTCACTGCTGGGTTTGAATTATTATTTTTTTCCCCTGAAGAGAATTATATTATGACAGATATTCCAGGTTGCACCAGATGATTGATTTAGGAATGTAATAAGAGTATTATGATCTGTGAAATCATTATTAATTGAGCCACAAGAAATAGATCAGAAGGTCTAAAATGTGGTACCTTTGCATGTGGGAACTGAGTGCTTCTCTTGCTGCTAGCAGTTGTGGCTCATGTGATCTTTGCTGACTCTCATCTCAAGTTCTTCACGGGATTATTAAAATGTCTAGCAACCAGTCATCTACGGAACTGTTAACTCATACCAGGCAATTATGTTGTATACAGCAGTTAGTTTCACTGAACTGTTGTTTGAGAAATCAACTAAAATGTACAGGGGAGAAAGAACTTTAAAAAAAACTCAAACAAACGCAAAAAAACAAAGAAAACAGATGACCCCTAAAAAACCCAAACAAAGCCCCCTGCCCCCCCAAAAACCATCAGCAAAATAAAAGAAAGGTAAACCTTTAATAGTAGTTGTTTAACTAGAGTCCACTGCTGTGTTTATAAAGCTCTCTTGTTTGAGTTGAGCAGTGGTGCCAGAAGCTCAGTTGTCTATTGCTTGTACTGGGCATCCACATGCACAGTGCTTATGAACTAGCAGCTGCTCTACCCTCTTGGAGAGCCTGTCAGAAGGCAAACATCCTGTCATTCAAAGCAGCAAATAGATCTGTCTTGGGAAATTTGTGTATAAGAATACATAAATACG